ATCCTTAATATCTTGAGAATGTCTGCAGAGAAAATGTTTGATAATTACTAAAATTTAATCTTATTCTAAGATACTGGCAAATAGATGTGGAATTCATTAATATTTTGATTTAAATGTGTTCATCAAACCTTGTCCATGCCCAATGCCCAATATTTGATGGACACATTTCTAGCACAATTTCCAAGTGACAAAATAAAAACATTTATTAACCAATACCTCAATACCAAGTTGTTTGAGTAGTTAAGATAAAGTGAGTTTAGTGCAAGTGTCAAAGCTTCTCTGCCATAAATCATCCCTYTTGAACCTTAAACAGAGCAATGAATTGGCAAGTATAAGTTCTATGAATTAAAAATAGTAGTCTATAGAGAAAACGTGACTCTTACCAACTTGTGACAAATCTGGGAGTTTCCAGTCTATGTCTGGCATTGGTTCAGATGAGCTGACAGACTTTCAGATTAAAAAGATTAGGAAAATTAAATCAATTTTATTTCAATGTTACCCCTCATAACGATAGTCAAACATGCCTCAAACAGGTTTCAAAATACATGCCTGAACATTTAATGAATAAATGCAAGGATTGCAGAAGCAATTACTGATTTACCTCAGAAAGACTAGCACTTTCCTCACTGTTAAGAAGCGGTAAATTTGTGAGAGCAACAGGATTTGAGATTTCTTTTGTAGAACCAATCAAACTTGCATCTAGACCAAGCTAAAAAAGTCAGTAAAACCATTTTTAATAGACATTCCATTTCTAGACCTCTAAATGGGAGGCAATCTAAAGTTATTCATCATTCAAAGCAACCTAATGGTGAGTAGCATTAGGCGGTATATCATAACAAAAGTCAGCCTTTATTTTATGACAATCAACCCTTTATCAACATGGTTTATTGTTAAGGCAATTTACCTGACCAGAGTCAGCTCTTCCCCAAACAAACACTTGTCCTGATGCATCCATGGCAACAGAAAACTCAGCTCCAACACTTGCTGTTTTGATATACTTGTCTTTAAGTCCTGGAATGGGTTTTGATGGAGACTAATAACAGAAACAAAAGTCCATRAGCATAAAAGTTAACCAATAGTATAAAGCAAGCATCTACAGACCTGTTCCTCTTTTTTATTACCATAACCAAGTTGACCATGGTCATTGAAGCCCCATGAAAACACTTCACCTGATTCCRTCACTACCAGATAATGCAGATTGCCACAATGAATCTTCATGATAGATTAGAAAAAATACATGGTTTGAGTATMTGACCAAAGGAAAACTTTCAAGTGAAGACTTTTAATTAATTTATTTATTTGTTAAATTAATTTAACAAAGAATTCTTTGTAGTTCGAGTGATTTAGCTGTGAGTTAGCTCATRTGATATTGCTGTGAAATTCTTACTTCTGCAATCCTAGATCCAAAGGTACAATTCATCAGTGTGGGTACAAGTCTGTGTGACAGAGCACCTGATGATGAAGAGCCAATCAATTTCTTGGTGCGAATTTCTGGTTTCTGTTAAAATTATAATCAATAAGTCAATCATAAGAACAGCTATCAGTTAGCCAACAAATCTAGCCTGAGTATCAGGCTCTCTCGAAGGGGTTTGGGGCGGAGCGAGAAAGGAGAGAGAGACAGCTAGCTAGTCTACCAATATGTTAAATATCAACCATATATTTTACCATATGAAGCCGMACATAATGAGGGTTTCTTCCCCAGTTATAGACTTTCTGGTCTGATGTCACTGCAACCTACAGGATTTGATATACAAATCAGAGATGCATTTAATTAAACATGCTTTGTCACTCATTTTATCTCATGAGAATAAGTCCCATAAATCACTGATGATTCTTACAGTTTCAAAGGATCCGCAGCAGATCATTGAGATGTGTTTTTCCTTTAACGACTCAACAAGTCTTGGCARAGTTTGCTTTGTGTTTGTTCCCAGCCCAAGTTGACCATACAGTCCTACAAMGACACAACCATTGTCAAATGTGGGTCATGTTCTTTGGCATTCATTTACTACATCAACATTATCTGATGCAATCAGCATATTAAATTGATCCCAATACCTCCTCCAAATGTATAAGCTTGTCCCTATCAAATATCACAACAAAAAGGCTGTAAGTGCTGGGTGATATTTAGATAATGAAATTTGTCAAAGRGAGGACGAATATACTGAAATAAAAGCTGTGGATTTCACATGACTGTACAAAAAACATGTTACTCTGAAACAAGACCATGCCATGACYRTAATGTATTCTTGAATCAGTATTTCATTTCTATTTGGTGTCACTAGCAGGGGAGGTTCTGTAGTGATCSATGCCTTTGACAGTCATACAGAATCTACTCTACACAATCTCAAACATGAATAATGCTACAAAACRTTTTACCTCAGTTGTAAGAACRACAGTATGAGAATACCCAGCAGCCATYTGGGTCACTTCCAAATGATCCAGACTCGTCACATGACTTGGCARTAACATATCTTCTATACTTCCCATTCCTAGTTGTCCATGGACACCCCAGCCCCAAGACCACACCCTTTGGTCTGCTGATAGTGCAASKGAATGRTAATGTCCACATGCAACWGCGATRCAGGATTTATCTGAAAGTTCAGTGATGAATACTGGACGGGTATGTTGTTTGGTGTCACCCTGGCCAAGCTATAATGAATATAATAATAATTTATTACTTTTATTTTACATTAAAAATAGCTTAATGGAATACGGTAGCTAAATGATATGATRCTAACCTGGCCATATTCAGATGATCCCCAGGCATAAACCTATAATAAGAAAAGACTGTATATTACTGTCTTGCATGGACATTTCAACTAGGAAATGAATTTAATCATACTAATAATTCTAGCCCCAATCTTAAATGGAAGACTAAAAACCAGAAGCTGATGAAATCAGAGTTAGAAATAACGGCCAGACAAGATGTCCCTCCAAATTCATTTTTGGAAGGTCATGTCAAGTTTTGAAAGGACAATTCTTTTAATTCATAGGTTTTTGTATTCAAAAGATTGGCAAGCATTTTAAAGACTTGTAAAAGATTTTATTTAGCGAATTGAAAAATTGAGAATTGAGAATTGCTTGTTTTTTATTATTTGTCTAAAAATGTGGCAGGCCAATTTGTCCTTTCAAAACCCAATTTGGCTGGTCATTTAGGGAATTTGGAATGACATTGTCCTTTGACCGGCCATTATTTTGAGCCCTGGAATTCAATTAACATGAAGTACTTACACCATCTCTACACAATGCTAGAGTGTGTTCAATTCCACATGCAACAGATAGAACTTTGATCCTGAAAATGATTCATTTTTCTATTGAAATCTGTCAACATAGCTGCTACACTATTGGACATCAATGAAAGCACTTAAAACATCACTTAGCAGTGACAAATAAATCTTGTTCACCTGTGCATGTGGAGAATTTCTACACGAAAAGGTGTTGATTTTCCCTCTTCTTCAATCAAGTCACCATGTCCAAGCCTAAAACATCACAGCTTTTTGAATACAGTGTTACTTCAATCTATTAAACAGCAATCCTCAGGACCTTCCACAGTTTCTGCAGCTGGTTGCTCAATAGAGGGTTTGATTATAAAAGGTAAATCAATAAAAAATGTGGAGCTTTTCATTGTCATTGGTGATCTAATAGAGTATGGTGATGTACTAAATTATATAATGGACACTAGTACAAATCAAAAGATAATCTAAAAGATAACTTGCTTCTCACCTTCCTTTGTGAGATTTTCCCCAYGTGTAAACATCACCAGATGTACTTATGACTGCAGTATGCTGCTGACCACAAGAAAGCTTGGTGCGCTGGCACAAGGTATCTATAGTGCCTTCCTGAAGWAACAAAMSTTAATTTATAACTTGKGCAGTTCTTGAGATATYAACAGGTAGAAACACATCATACATATGTTGMCKTACCCTTTTTCTACTGTCAGATCTTGTAGGAGATGTTGGTTGACCACATACAATCTTGATGTTTGAAATTCTAAAATAGGAAGAACAGAGAACATGGGCTTAAATTCCAATAGACATATTTCTTTCAAAATCTAYCTGACTTATATTAAAGGTTAGCAGTTAGATCTATCTTTTGATTATATAACTGACAATTGGGATCCCWTTGTCATGAACCTTGACTCTCACCCTTCCCACTCCCCCCACCGACCACACTGTCACAGGAAGCCCAAGAATTGTCTGTAGTAATACCTAGCTAAAGGGTCTTGTTGTTTCTCTCGGCGATGATTCAAGACAAGAAGACAACACAGAAAAAGATGAAGAAGATCAGMAATGCTGGGTTGTTTCATCTCCTCCTAATTTGACGAGAAACAATATCAAACAAAAAATATATAAATGATATTTAAAAATTCAATTTAAAGATGCACTAAAAATCAAGGCCACAGTGGTTACCATGGTGAAACTTGCTGTGCTTTCCAARGACAAGAGGGATGCCATTGAGCTTATTGATACTGACCTAAATGRACATAAAAATCTTCAAGATGGGTTTTTATGCAATATAGCAGGGTAGCCTCAAAGCTTCATTTCCAAAGAACCTAATTACATGAGTAATTTTAACTAATGGCTATTTTCAGTTATGTCTATTTTACTGTTGACAGCTTGTATACACCTAATTGAGGAAACGTTGTTGGTTCCAAAAAGGTCAAATCATGCAAGCTAAGACCGAAAGGGTACTTGGGAAGACAAACAATTTGGCTAATTCATAACAAACAGCTCTCCAGCATAAATGACTAGCATGCTGTTAATCTTACTAGCTCTACTTGCTTAGTGTACACCGTATATGCAAATGTAATCCCAATTTAGTGGTACTCAAAATCCCTTTCGGTCTTAGCTTCTATGATGTGACCTTTTCGAACACGACTAATACGTTTTTTCAATTAGGTGTAAATCATTTTTGTATGTAGACAAACTGTGAATGGGTAATATGTTTGATATCAAACCTACCTTGATTTGGAAGTTGTCTTTATCTTTGACAACAATGACCTGAAAGAWGGACGGGACGGATCCAACACTTTGGCAATGTGTATCAAACTCTCTTCTTCTAATGACATCAGCTGACTCAACAAGAACTTCAGGTGTGATAAAATAGTTTCTGGCTGAGAAAGAAAAGCAATTATTTTTACAGAATGATGAACATTTTGTAATGTAATGGGAGTCCTGTGTCAATTAGAGAATCAAGTTGTGGGTTTCCTGTGTTAATATTCATTGGGATCCCTGTGTTGGGAGTTTGATTATGCACCTTTGTAAGAAGGAAATTCACTGCTTCATTTGGTCCCATAGTGTACAGAAAAGCTCCTGTCGAAAAAAGAGCAATAAAATTTGATAAATGAATGATGAAATGGATAAAGAAATACATGATTAAATTAACAAATAGAAGGATAAACAACTGAAAAAGAGAAAAACAATGCAGTCTAAACAGATAGATTAACCAATAACATACCTTTTGATGCTTTACTAACAATGTCAGTGAACCCTCGAGCTGCAAGTTTATTCAATAGCTCAGTAGACAAGTGAAATTGTCCRGTTTGATAAAGTACATCCAGTGCTTCAGCCATCAAACCACGTGCCTTTTTATAAAAGAGTAATTTAATAATGTTTCCAGAATTAGTTGCACAATGCATAAATAGAGCTCCTTGGCTTGGGCACTTGTCCCATTTCAGATCATGTGAGAATTCATACAATTCTTTGTTTTACTGCCATCTATAGTCATGCCTCTTCTCATGCAAAGAAATACTGAACCAAAGGATCGGAAGGAAAAGTAAGGTAACAATTCCCAAGCCAAAGGAAGACTAGCCTACTTACCTTTGCCACATCAAACAAGTGTTCTTTGAGTCCATGAGATGCCAGTAATTTTARAGCACAGTACTGGTCATAGTCAAAATTGTCATTGATGAATTGACTGGGAAATTTAAAGCAGCAAATGAATACACAGTGTATAATTGCCATCATAATAAGTTCATGTAACAGCTTAGTTACCTAAAGGCTTCACTCAACATCCTTTGCTTCCTTGCTTGTCCGCTGTGCTCTAGAATCTGCAAGGTAAGATATGTATTGCATGTAGCTTATAAGAAATACTATATCCTAGGTCATTCACATGTATTACATATACTTACAAAAGTATTTCAATAATAAAACATCTCACCTGCTGTACAAAGCAGTAAAGAGCAAAATTTGACAGCTGCTTTCTTTCAGCAGTATGAAAGTCACTGTGCTTGCTCAAAGCCTTGAAGATACAAAATAATAATAATCTCATACAAGCTACTAATAGAGTTATACACAGATGCCATTTACCATTTATTATACAAGCATAAAAATGAAATAAATATTAGAAGAAGAATAAAAAGTAATGACAATATAGATTCCTTCGCACCTGTCGTAAGTAGGTAAGAATGTCGCCAACTCTGTTGTGTTTAGCAAACTGTGCAACTCTTTTGCTGAAAGGACACTACATTAACAAGGAAAACAATTAATGCACTTTAGTTCAATTTACTGAACATTTGAGGAAAGAAAGTATTAAGAATTTTGATTTGTTTCATGTCATTCTTCTCAAAATTGTTCTCCACAAACCTTAGATAGCTGATACAGCTTCATTGCATGTTCGTACTTTTCTTTATCAAGAGCCTCTTCAGCAGCCATCTAAACAGAAAAATTWACCTATACAGTTGAGCTTTAAAAYTCATTTAAGATTTCAAGAGCTGCTRGAGCTTATAATATGRTAACACTCAGTGCGATAACATTATTTTGATGTGTTTACCTCATATAAAGTATTTACATCAAGACCGGTAGTGATAGCGAGCATATCAGCTGCAATGTTGTCTGTGTTGTTGATGGCTAGATCAAGGAAAAGCTTTTCCGGAGAAATACTGCAAGGACAAAGAAACAACTCATAGTGATGCAGTGTGTGGCTATATGATGAGTTGCGATTGTCATTTGATGGTATTGCAATCAATGCCATCAATCAAGAGAACGTCATGATACTTTTCAAAAGTTTACCTTGGTCGGCATTCATATATAGCACTGGTTGTGACAAGGATGCAGCCATCAACACTATACATTCGACTAGGCAGATGGCCTCCTGACCCTTCCCCCTCTGAGTTTGGCTTTTGTAGTCCCTCCATGATCTTTGTCTCCTTGAATAGACCAACGACCTGCTCATCTGGCGGCAATGTGAAGGTTTGTATTATACTGGAGTCTGATCTATTCTAAAAAAATGAATTCAAAATTCATTTTTATTCTTTATTGATGAACTTTCTTTTTCTCTCTTTGGGTAGCCTTGTATAACAGTTCCCCACCCTCCCTCCCTCTGCACATAAAAATCAAAATTTCAGCCAAGGGAGGGAGGGTTGGGGTACATTTGCAGACAGCCTTCTTTCTGGCTCAAGTTATACCTTAGGTGATCTTGGGATTGACTGCGATGTTTCTGCAAGTTGACTTGATAGAATACAAAGGGATGTCTAAAGAACATAAAAACTAATCAGATACAATTAATAACTTATCTTTAATCAAAATTATTAATAACTAGTAAGTGACAAGTCCACCTTTGCCTGATCTGCATGGACCACTGTGAAGAGAAGTCTGTCTGTGAGAAGAAATTCCGATGTTCCTGTAGGAAGTTGGTAGATAAACATAGGGAGATGGTCGATATCTGTGTCATATACCTATCAATCAATAATTCATTCTTTTAATCAGTGAATCAACTAATCAGGGCAAAACCAACCAATCAACCAACCAATCAATCAATCAATCAGCCAATCCATCAAGTGTCAATCAATCAATATATCAATTCAACAATTATTATTATAAAATCACACTACATGTACCTGTAAAATATCAGTTCTTTGGTTATGYGCRCCAATAAAAACCTGCTTTCTTGCATGTTGAACRGAGAATAACACTTCACCCATGGGGCTCTGAAAATTAAATCACTTAATGCCAAGGTGGAGTTCAATTTGAACCATATCAAACATTCAGTTTTGAAGCTCAAGAATGTAGACAGTAAAGGACAAAATTCACATATATCTCTAACTCTAGTCACTGACCTTAATCGGCATTGGTACAAGTCTGTCTTGCCATTCTTTAATGCCTTGAAAGCTCTCTAGGGGAATCCCCATTAAGCCAACCATCTCATATCCCATTCCAGACGCAACTGAAGGGCTGTTCATTCTGTCAAGGGACAGCTTTCTTTGGGATATGGATTTGCTTTCAAGTATCAACTGCCATGTCTCCCCTGATGTTGTTCCAATCTGAAGGTAAAAAACTTACTATCACTGTAACCGAATTAAAATTTATCTTTCAGACATTTTCCATTAGCCTGCTCTTAAGTTTTCCTTGGAAAGAAAACATAACAAAAGAACAAACAGACAGAATCTCATGATTCACTTTTACATAACTATACTTAACAATAGCCGACTTTAAATATCTTGGTTCAGTGAACATGCACAAAAGAATTGCAGACAAGACTCCAGGGAAATAAAAGAATAACTCAAGATTATCCATTGTTTTCCCAGAGCCTCGTGTGCGTTTTTTTGGACATAGTCATCAAACCAAAATATCTAAAGTTGACTATTATGGAATCATGATCACAATAACAGATTCAAATATTACAAATAATACCATAACAGAAGTAATTTGGTGTTGCTTGTCCTGTAGCAATTCCAAAGTAGTGACACTTTCTTTCAGATCAACAGCCATAATTGAWGCYCCAGTRCACAGGTCTACAAGCATCACCTCCCCYAACTRTTAACMAAAACTATTAGTGAGTTTATTAGSATTGGGTKTCCTGTGTTGTAACAGACARAGGGGCTGRGCAAAAATGATGCTATATGCCACATAACTCTATGAAAATTAAAAATTCAAATTGGCTTGCATCAAGTCTGTAAGAATACATGGTTTACAACTTTTRAGTTAAAAACTGGAAAAAAATTAGGGATTGAAAAATATTCTTTTTAAATTTAACAAGCAGCAAGAAAATGTCCTTTTCCTACAGACAAGCAATTCTTCTTGAATTCAGGTAAAGGGTCCAATCTATTGATATTTGCAATCTAAACACTTCAAGGTCCCTTAGGCCTYGTTTCCATTCCTTTGTTTTCTATTGYTTTCAATTYACTTCCCACTTACGTCGTAAGCTTATAGGAAGACTGTTAGTGAATGTTACAGTAACAAACAATATTAGATAATATTTATTAATAATATCTACCTCTGTACCAACTATACACATCTGGWAATCATCCTCKGTATGCCACCAYGCAACACTRCCAGGCTGACCTTRAASCAAAYAACACAATRAASACTTAAACATTTTCTTTTCTTAGAATTACYAAATGTATTATTACTTCTTGTGTTCTGTGAAGCAACTTTTGTGATGTCATCATCCTTCCATKGTCTATTAGTAGGTAATTTTCTCCCTTCTGTCTAAAAAAGAAAAACATTCAAGTAAGAATACAGTGCTATTTATAATTCACAATTAGTTGCAAGTCATAGTACCTTAATTATACCCTGTATTGGTACGATATAAAGGTTTGTGTCCATACATGCACATACCAACCAACAGCCACTGGGATCTAAAGACAGTGCTTTGATAGCTCTCTTGGGATTCTTCATAGAAAAMAGCATTGAATTAATGATAACAAATAAATAAWTAATATRATAAAGTCATGTTGTYGAAACTGGTTTCAGAATGMTGGGTTCAACAGTCTAYTGTCACTAKTTYAAAGCATTTWAWAATACTGATTTCACAATGAAATTCAAGTACTTCAAAATGTAATTCTTTGAATTTGAATCCAGCCTTTTATGCTACAATTCTCACCTGAAACCATGATATCTGCTTGGTAACTGGAGATTTATCCTTGCTGGTACTCCATAACAGAAGAGCACCTAGACAAGAAATGCAGAGAAACATGGTTCATACACGTCAACCTTATTTTAAGTTTTGAAGCTTTAGAATGCATATCTCACCATTGCTACAGAGTAGAACTAGTAGGCAACCATAGTCATCTTTGTACCATGATGCTGTTTGGATAAATGGTAGATGGGCAGGAGGAAGACAGGCTGGTGAAATCATGAAAAGTTAAATAAGCTTGAAAAAAAGCTCAATTCACATTTGAATGAATAAAGGAAGGAATGGGGAGGCCAGGGTTAGTCGTTACTAAAGATTCCATCATACTTACACCTCGAAGTGTTTCCGGACTGCTCCTGTGCTTGTAGAGTTGCCCTTGGACGAACTCTCAGAATATGAGCGAGCTCAAAAAGATCGTAGCTGAACTTGCTAACAGTAGGAGAGGCAGCACGCCCCCTACCTCTCTGATTGGAGCTAGAAAACCCTTTACTCATGTCCAAAACATMAACAACATTGCCTTAGCATAATAGGAAKAGCAAAKTACATCTTGCTGCTAATAAGAATGGAGTTTAACGCAACTTTAAGACTTCATTCAATCTTCACTTCCTCTTCAAAATAATGTCGGCAGCAAATACCATCAGGCGTTGCTAGTAGCACATGCAAGGGTCTGAAAACTAGTTCTCAGTCTCTATCAACAACACGTGGTAAACAAAATGGCGGATTTGGTGGAACTTTTGTTGCAAAATTCAAGCCCTTCTCAGCTCTTAACGATCCTCTCKGGCTATTTAGAGACTTCTGAAAGCAAGCGTAATGCTGATTTTTATTGTTCGTTGAAATCRGTGCTTATTCCYCTAAAGGAACATGGCGAACTTCCMGATGAAACGATTCGTAGAATTTATCGAGAATACTGCTTTCCTGCATTATGTAAAAACGTCACTGATCGGCTTCTTTTGCACTCAGTATACGACGTTATAGTTTTATGCTGYACTTTAGGTCCAAACGATTTAGCCAAAGAACTTATTGAATGCTGTTTAGATAGTTTATCGAACTATTCCAAAGAGCTGGCATCTCCTAGCGGGCTTCCTGTGTTAGTCAGCTTGGATSTTGTAAGTCATTTATTGAAGGGCGAAGCCAGAGCTGTTGTTGATGAAGATTCRCATGAAAAACTGTTTAATAGTSTACTRGATGTCCTCTGCGTGTCAGATGAACTCATGTGTGCGAGAATATCAAGTGGGATACTTCCATTGTTTATAGGCAATGGCATAGAAAGTAATCTAAAACTTATGGTGGGTRTACTACAGTAGGGGAGGATTGTTGCACTTACAACATGCTGTATGTTAAGCATCTCTTACTGTACTTGAACTTACCAAAACACTTTAATTCATGTTGTATTTTTAGACCCTTTGGGCTAGAGTCACAGAAATGGCACAGATGGATTCCWTGTCTTCTACTAGCACACTTGACAACCTCCAGAAATACTATGCAACAATGTGTAGTCTCATTGATATTTTTCTTATGGATTCCAGTACTGGTGGAAGCATTTTACATGAATCAAGGTTTTGGGAACTATTGCAACAGGGGCTAAAGCTACAGGATCCTTTAGCAAGTAAGCGAGCTATGTACTTGCTTCAGAGGTSTTTGGACCATATTGAGAAGAAAAGAATGTCCCTCAAAGTTAAAGATACACATGACAGAGTTGTATTTTACTGGGAGCCAAAGTCAGAAAAGTTATTACTTGAAATCTGGCAAGAGTTTGTTTTGTTGATAGAAACTTTGAGTGAAACTCAGGTGAGACTGTTGTTTTGTCCTTTTTCTTTCTTTCTTTCTTCCTTTTTTTTTTTGAATGGATGAACAAATGAATGAATAAGGCTTTAATCAATTGGTGGATATATGAATTTTTGAATAAATAAATCAATGGATAAATAACTGGGTGAAATAATGAATGTACGGGAAAATACATGAATAAAACATGGCTTATAAACAATTATTTTCTTCTTTCAGCTTCATGTAATAAAGCCAGTATTGAYAAAATTTAGTAAAATCGTCACTGCCACTGAGCTGAATAGTGAAGGTAAAGCTCTTGATTTCCTTTAGTACTGCTTTTTGYTTTGATAATCTGTATGTATTCATCTTATCCTTCTTTTCATAAATACAACTTTGTTTTTCAAATCCTTGTGTTCATTCATGATCCATAGAATTATTTTTTTTTTCCAAACAAAGATTCCAGATCTCTGCACCTCTCATGGATGACCACAATCATCCACAAAGCCTCATTACATCCCAGTAAGTTCATCCGTAAGTGGGCCGCCCTTGAAATAATGACAATGGACTTGTCAAAGAGTCCACTTTTGCACCCACAAAATTGGAACTTCATACTGGGGCACTTTCAAGCCATGCTTGGTGAGTATAATCTTTACAGCAAGGGTTATGATGGTATCACTGGAACTCTGTCTCCAGTAGGAACAGCCCTTCATTCCTTCTACAAAAATTGCTTTGAATGTCTTCCTAAAGATCTTCATGTAGAGTTCATGAGAAGGCTTATTATATCTATTGAGRAACAGAAGTTTTCTGCTGCACCATTGGCATGCATTTTCAGTTCCTTAGCAAACATTCCAAGTTTGCCATTGTTGGGAGAAGAGTCCTTGCAGAGAATTAGGAACATCCTGTTGCACCTAAGGACACATGCTGTCAACTTCCGTTTGGCAACCAAAGGTTTTATARTAACTACAATAGTAAACCTTACTGACACCTCCTTGGTTAGYTGGGATGCWATYTTYAATTTATTAACTGTTGGAAAACTGGATGAATGCTTACAGAGGAAGAGCTGGCTKTGGGAATGTTTGTGTAGTTGGATTTGGAGTACAGTAAACATTAAACATGAAATAGTAGAGAACAGATTAATAAAGGATAAACAAAATGAGGGATTAGTCCATTTTCTGCTGGCAAAGATGGATCAGTTCCTCAAAGATCAGCAAGTTCATCAAGATTACATGAATGATGAAGCAGKRTCATTGGGTTTTTTCATAATTTCTGCTGCAGACTCTTTTCATKTGCACAACAAAAGTCCCTGTGAMTTGCTACAACTTCTATTTAATGAATTATTTCAAAATTTTCAAGATGCCAGTACCAGGCTCTACATGTCAGAGTCTAGACTATGCAAAGCTGTCACWTTGCTCACATCACTRCTRAAAGTGATTGATGAGAGCCATAGTGATATAGGGARAGAGTCACGTGACTACACTAAAGAACTGATGACAAGTTTCTTGAAACACAATTTGACAGACATTTTGAATCTTCTTCAAAGAAAGCTCATTTCTAGTGAATGTGATAGTGGGTCTACTGGAGAATTCCCCTACTTGAAACTCAGCCAATCCTTGCATCATTTCTGCTCCACAAACCCAACAATKAGYTCTTTRTGGCAACARTTTTACTCCTTTCTTGAAAGAATCACCASATCCAGCATCAARACTGTTCAGGRTATCCATGGATACAGTAACCATGGTAACCAGCAGTGGTCAGTGATGCACCAATCAATGTTGGTAATTGCATGGGTCTGTGACGTCACAACYGATAACCACATGACCATTCCTCAGTCAATTACCAAACTTCTTCTAAATGCCATACCTACATTTAGGTTGGATGTTGAATTCAAGACGCCAGGAGCTACTTCCATAGRTGAAAGCTCGTTCCAGGGGGCTGTTCAAAGTATAGCAACGTTGAGGAACTCTGTGTCAGGATATCTTGGCGCTCTTTGGAGAACTGTTGCATATTATCTCCAGCAAAACACAGCTGAAATACAATCCRTTAATGTAGCTGAAGACGGACTTAAAATCACAAGYTGTAYTTCACAGGTCCTGGAAGCTGCCTTAGAAGCCTTGAACGTCACAAGYTCTGACAACGTCATGYCGATAATGACTTCCATTGGTTTACTTATCCCAAAGCTTCTTGACCGCCATATTGAACTGTGTTCCCGCGCACTTGATGCGGTCTGGGCAACGCTCGTTGAAATGTGGGATCATCCATCATTTTGGGAAATTTGCCGCACAACAGCAAACGTTGTCATGAGTCCTAGACTGCTCATGCTCCCCGAGGAACACCYGCTGACTGTRAAAATTAARGCTCGCCTTGRGGAAWTGATGAGTGAAGGAGAATTTCGACATGGCATAATGAACGTAGTAATACARCACCTTGGCGACGTGTGGACAAAACAGCCTTGTRRTTCTAGCCTACTTGTTTACAAAGAACTAATCGTGGAGATACTTCTTTATAATGCATCAGTACAGAAGACCCACGTGATTGACGCCAATGTAGAYGCATTTTTACGTCACAACTTTAGTACCCAGTCGCCGCTCTGCGCAATTCATGGATTAGAGAAGCGCGATGATGGTCAAGTTCGTGTGACGATGACAAACATACTGCTCAGTCTTGATGCCTCCGATTCCTCAACACATGAAGTGCTGTTTCAGATAATAAAATTACTCCTTGCTCGTGATGACGAGATTTCTGTTGCTAAYCCCAAAATGTACGCCAATTCCCGCAGCCACCGSAARAAGCACCACGCCTGGCAGGCCATTTTGGTCCTMCTTCCACTGGTAATGGAGGGAGATCCCCAGGGCGCATGCTGTGAAGAAGTACTCCGCTATACTTTCGCATCGCTTGAGTGTGCTAATCAAGTGTCRGTGCAGAACTAYCAACAATGGCTGATATTGTGYATCTTAAATAGGTARGCTGCCATTTTACTTTTTTTAGTATAATTCTCTTAAACAAATGAGATTCTTCGCTTGTTTTTTGYAGATATCCAAATATGGCATCGTTGTTRTGGGACGAGTTYAAACACGACTCTGAAAAGCGAGTGGGAAGGATAAGTCTCCTAGCAACTGTTGCCATGTTATTTGTTATCCATTGTGTGACGGACTCGACGAGRCGYCCCATTCTWTTCAAACATGCAATATCAGCGGTGTTGCCATGGATTTCTGTCAATCATCGTCAGGCACGTGTTCACGCGCAGTTGGCATTACAGAGAATGTGGTATTGCTGCGTTTGTGAAAACCTGGAATTGGTKTTGAGGGAAAGAGAACTTATCGAGCCGTGTTTGGAGTTCATGATGATTAACAACGATACGTTAGCAGAGAAAGTAAAACTGTTTGAGAATTATTTTTTCTTTGACTTCAATCCTATCAGTGATTTCTCCATTGAAACCATCTACYACACAATCCCCAAGCACTCAGAGGTGTCCGAGGAAGAATGGATTCAACCTAAGCAGTTTCAAGAAAAGGCACTGGGCAAGCGTTTGTGGAGCTCGCTGCAGTGCTATGGCATACCGCTGTACAACAAAGRTCGAAGGCTTGCAGAATTTGTAACTGAGCCATTTAACTACCGTGAAACATTTGGCACACAGTTCCAGTGTCGAATCCGGGGGGAGAAACCGCAGTCTTCAACCAACACTCCTGATGCAGAAAGTCAAGATATYCCCGAAGGTGGTGATGTCCAAAAGAAAATCATCGCGTGGAAGATTGTCCCCCCGGATGAGATGATGATCGCTGAGCTYCAGCAACAAAGAATGMWGTCACTACAGAAGTCTTCAGGGGGWAACCTGATTGTCGTGGCATCGTTGATTGACAAGGCACCCAACCTTGGCGGYTTGTGTCGAACATCGGAGATATTTGGAGTGAAAAAACTTGTACTKGGAAGCAATGAAATCATGAAGGACAAAAACTTCAAGGTTTGTATCATACTCTCTTGATTGGCATGCATACGCTTTAAATGACTTGACCCAGTATGTAATCGTGCAGCTTTTCTTATCAATGAAGTGTTTAGAAAGTGTAGTCATTAAAGCACAACCTTTAAAGTAGTTCTCTTCAATTCTGAGTAGATTATGATTATTGTACTTGACAGAACTTAAGCGTGAGCTCTTCCAAGTGGGTTGATGTCGAGCAAGTACGACCAGTTGATCTCAAGGTTTATCTGCAAAGAATGCAACAACAAGGATACATTCTCATTGGCGTAGAGCAGACAGCCAATAGCAAGCCGTTGACAGAGTACACTTTTCCCCACAATGCACTATTGCTGCTAGGCAATGAGAAAGAAGGTATCCCAGCAGACCTCATTCAACTTTTAGACGTATGCGTCGAGATTCCGCAGGTCGGTGTGATTAGGTCCCTAAATGTTCATGTTAGTGGAGCCCTCCTTATTTGGGAATATACACGACAGCGCGTGCTTTCCGGGGRAAACTCTGCTGACTAGAAGATAATGGACAACTTGTCCTAAGTCTTGAACTAAGACACTAACAAATAATATGACAATAATGATGTATTTTGAGAATTTACAATTGTTTTCGAACTAAAAGTATATTTGTCTAGTAACGTGGCTGGATCATTTGAACTTGCATTTCCAATTACATTTAGATTTCTTTTTTCATCTGGCAACTATGAATGGAGACGACTCTATTTTGTTACTAGTGACGTTAACGGTTAATGATTTTAGTATATTCATATAATTTATAGAATATAATTTGTATAGGAAAACTAGCAAAAAGGCTGCATAGTTTAGAGAAGGACTGTTGTCGAATAAAGTCATTTGCAAACGGATTCGGGTTTGATTTCCATTTTGTCTCGGTGTCACAGCACCTGTTAAACAGTGTCATCTAATCTGAGTTCCTAATCAGTTGTTTTTTTAAAACACTAGTATAATTGTGGGTTTTTTTACATCTTTTAATCAAAGTTTGCAAACCTTTTGTTCGTGTAAGATTCATTCGTTGATTGACAAGCATAGTCGGCCCTTTAATCTGTCAGTATTTTTCCATAGTCTTGAACAGTTGATTGATTGCTCTGAGAAACCCGAGTTGCTAGATAATCTTCAAAAGTAAATTGCTCTTGGCCTCGAAAAAGTATTAGTATTTTCCTGGATGAGTTTTGAATGGAAATTGCCGGAGCAAATCAACTCAGCACTCTTTCATTAAAACCTGTAATATATTTTTATTTGATTAGACATTCTTTGAACCTTGAGGCGTTCAAAGTCGATCAAATTCATTATTCCTGGATCAAGTGTTTGTTTTCCTACCGTTAAAGATAAGATATCAATGGCGTCATTTTGTTAACAATATTTTACTTTAATAATGTGCTCGAATGATATCATAATGAATCTTTTTTATCATTTCAAAGTGTTCAYGTTAATCTTTAATTGATCTATTTGATTTCACGTACGCTTAGAATGGACACTTGAGGTTTTTATTTTGAAGTTGTGGCACTTTCTGCCGTCCTACTAAGTATTTAATTAATATCCAAAAGAARGAACAAAGCTGAATCATTAGCCATTGTGCTATGCAATAAACAAACAATAGAACCAACAATAGAAGTATGCTAAACAATGAACAAACAAGAGAACATGAAGAGAAGCTTGAAGATTTACTTCAGAAATGAGAAAAAATGGATGCATTTCCGTGTCATGCTTTCAACAGAAAAGTTAATAGAGGATAGTACACTTAGGAAATACAGGTCGACAACACGTTTCACTGTCGCTTTTAAGTCAATATATTCTAACACAAGCTATTTAAGACAAAACTAGTGCAAACATTTGGTTTTAGGCACTCGGAACCGCGACAACTTCAAAAGGAAACACTGTTCTTTTGTTGATGATACAAGGAGAGGGTGCCGTAATGGCGCCAGTGAAAAAGTGAAAATGTAAGAAATCGTGAGACCATGTTTTACCTGAATTCTTTCTTTTGTCAATAAATCACATAACTTAGCAATTTTGAATAAGTACAGGGCTCTTTTATTCTACTAAAACATCTCTATTCAATGACATATCTATAGTAGATTTTACTTGCAATTATTTTTATTCCATTTTAATTCATACAGGAATTAAAAAAGATACAAATCTTTAAATTTAAAACGTTTTTTTACAGCTGTTCATTTGACATGTTCTAGAAGTTTCTCTTGCTCTACACTTAACCGATCTTAACCTTCATTATCTATTTTTTCATAAGAKAAAAGATTTTCTCATTTCACTTGATTCTTACAGCATGGTCGACCATTTATTTTCCTGTAATGAAACGGGTATTCATTTCCGCGTTTAGGTGGCGAAAGTCGTCGACATTTTTCCTAAGGCAACAACATTTAGCTCATTGCAAATGAACTTTTTTATCGGCATTATTTTTAGCTCAAGACTGAAACGGTTGTCCAAATTTAGAGGCGGTCTTTCAACTTTTCTTCGTGAAGACAATGCTAAGATAGCTGTTGCATGTTTATCTCGCCAGAGGAAAAGTTTATCAGCAGTTTTACGACGCGTTCTTTCAAGACTGACCCAAAAATGGGAGCATTTCTCGCGCAGTGCTTTCAACGTTGAAACTTGRCCTTGTTAAATCGAGATGATATAATTCAAGCACTTGCACTTTGCATCCCTTAAGTTGTAATTTCAGTATCTTGTGTCTCACGATGTCACGTATTTCGAGGTTATCATCGCTGTTCTTATATACTGTATTTCAACCAAGACCTACGGTCAGACACGRAGCTATCATTTTTTCATCGCCTAATCAGAGTAACTACTCCAAACTTTGCGGCTTCGTTTGAAAGGAATACGAAATATTAGCTTATGTTTCACTTTGTTGTTTTTTTCCCTAGTAGTTGAATTGTGCTCAGTTTCGACTTACCGAATTTATAGGTAAAACAGGATCAAACTGAGGACATTAAAACCGTGAAATGGTTACTCCAGGATTTTTATCAACCCGTGAAAAAAAGGTTCACGTGGTGTGAGATTGAAAAACAAACCAGAGATTTCTAAAAAACAAAATGATAAGAAAACGTTTGAATCTGATTTCTGAGCATGAGCGAAGCAAGGTGAAAGCGAGGTAGATTTGAATCGTGAAGCTAAAATTAAATGCTAGCGAATAACAGATTCTAACAAAGAAAACAGTAGAACTGATATGTGGTCTGCTTGTCTATACATCCTTTTACTGTCGAAGGCTGGGAAATCACTCTAAATACAATTTGTTGCCCTTGATATCTTCGTTTGTTTCTATTCTATGACTCCTTTCGGTTTTGTTTCACGGCTTTACAGTATTCTCTATCGTTTTTAAATAGTAAACACACTATTTTTGAACTTATTGAAGAACAAAAGAAACGGAAGAGTCTTAAATCTAATATCGCCTTTGCAGGTTTTTATTACAGACGTAGCAGAATATCAATCCAAATGTTATCACTCCAATTGTCATTCAGACTAATAAAAAACAACAAGGGATTTGACGAATTAGCGACTACCTAAGTGTATTATCCGAATATCCATTTCAGGGGTTCTTTGACCTTGCTCTAGAAGACTTCTACCTTTGGAAAATACACAAAAGCAGAAACAAAGCGCTTGTGTTTATACTTGCGCAGACTAAAACAAGTCGATGAGGTTTCCATTTCTTGTCAATACTGTCTTGAAATAATGCTGACATTATGGAAGTGTATACAGTACTTGCAAAGTAGACAGACGAGAGAGTTTTCATCGATTTAAAATGTCATTACCAGAAAACCTCACAAACGGGAGAGTTAGCGCCATAGGGAATAGCATTTATTGTAACGATATGCTATATCCATCTATTTGCCGCCCTCAAAAGCTATCAACATGTATCCATTTCGATCTATCATTGAGATCGTTCCTCTATGTTTTCACAAATCTAAATGCAATTCTTTGTATTTTTGGCGTGACAGCTGAGATCATTGAGATTTGWAAGGAATGCCGATTGTGTATAAAGTAACGAGTGTAGTTTTCAATACTTTATTCCTCGTTGTCATGGCAGCCTAAAAACGCCCGCATTTTTTTGCGCCTTGATGAGCAAACTGTCAGCACCGCCATTAGACCTAGAGGATTTGCACACTTCACACTCTAATATATTCCTAAATATTTACACCGTATTAGCATTATAAATCGATTTTACAAGTATTATTTTGTGATTTGCTCATGATAAATATATATTTTTTTGAGTTCTATGTATAAATGTGAATAAGAGGTTCCTTCATTTCCTGACAGCATTAATTAGCATTCATCTCAAAATACTCGCCGGTACTTTCCAAAGACAGATGCTCAGCATCTTCATCTTGCGAAATTAAAAAGTGCTATCAATGTCACGTAGAATGTTTCGCGATCTGTTGAACTTTGTGTTGATGTGAATGTCTTTTTTCGAGTGCTCTTGGCAAAAGCGAACATTACATTGTTATGAACGGAGAACATCAAGCACATTAAAAACATAGTATTATCTTTTAAGTCTGTGTCAATAATCCTTTTAAGGGATTTTCAGTTTAGACTCTATTTTCGGCCATKCCACTGATCTTTTTAGACCTTAATCGAATAATAGTTTTACCCAGATTCATGTTTTGTATAGCACCTCTAAATCTCCAGCTTCTCCAATAGTAAATGTAGGGATTTATACAGCTATTGCACAGCGCCAGAGTGTTTATCCAAGGGAAAACTCTCTGGAAAACAGTAGCCTTCGACGTAGGAGATCTTSCAAAAAATGGTAGCACAATTAACGGCAAATAGCACAGGTAGAAAACACCAACAACAACTCCAATTAACTTCGCCACCGTTTTCTCTCGCGTAAAAGCGCGCATTTTATGCGTTTGYGACGGAAATTGYCGTTTCATTTCGGCGCACTGCACYCGAACTATGATAAAAACTCCAGCGTAAAGMACAGGAACTGCTATCAAAACAGCAATGACGAAGTATTGCGCGACGAAACGAAATGTTCTATGTAATGTAGAGGCACAACTCCCATTTATCAGAGAAAAGGTCCAGGATATGGCCACCAGCATTATAGCAGTTTTTGTTGTCATTTTGGAGCGATAACTTCGTAGGAACAGGAGTGCAAGGAAGCGATCAATCGAGATGGTCAGAAGGCTACTTACAGATGCTAGAGTTGCGATCCATGTGACTGCTTGCCGTATAACGTTGATATTTGGCGATAACAGTTTGTTTAATAATGCTACATACAATGGTTGTGCAAGAAGACAAACCAAAAGATCCGACCCAGCCARGCTACAGATAAAGAACTCGGTCTTTTGCCAGCCCAAGTAGCGACATTTGGCCACGACCATGAATACTAAAATGTTTCCAAAAGCTCCAATGAGAGAGCCGATAACATTAATTGCAGAAAGAATGACAATTTCGATCAGTGTTATTGTCATAACTGGTGTCTTTGGAGAGAGCTTTGTTGGCGAGAGATCACTCGAGTTCGCCATAAGCGCCATCAGAGTATGATARTAAATAAAAGTCTATCTTACGTGTCCTATCTGCTTGCTTAGTAATTCCATGAAATCCATCCACTTGAAGTGCTCTTGTCAGGAAATTTGCTTTTTTTTCACATTTCCTTCATACACTGATCTGCCTTAAAGTGCAGAGAGAGTTTGAATGATATGTCTGATTTGATGCAAGACTCTTGCTCAAGGCTACTGCACACGCGGCAAACCTGATATGCGGAAAGGTCCTCAGCAAGGTCGAGACTGTCCTAACTGACACACAACACTAATAGAAAGGCTTTAGGAATGAATCGAGGGGGCGTTGGTAATTTTTGGTTAGACAGCTAGAAAGTTACCTAACAAAAAAGCCGGATCTTTCTTGCGTCTAGTCAAACCAATCAATTTGGAGATGTAAWRAAMAGAAAAAAGAGGATTTCGGCTGGTATAAAGGAGATTGACAATGATATTAGAACCCTTTTGCACTATGGCTTATTGAATGTCAACAAAATTCATGCTATCATATACAGACATACAGGTTTTAATGAACAACATTAATTAACCGTGTTTAAAAGTATACGGTTCAAGCTGCAAATCTTATGAGCTTTGTAATTGAGTTTCAATTATTTTCACTGACATTTATGACAAACTGACGCCGAGATAAACATTCGTGTTCGTCATTATCAAAACAGCAGGCTCAAAGGTAAGAGCCCTGAAACTGATTCAAGTCGGTTTTTTCTTTGATTGTTATTGTGAAATCCGCCGTTGTTTTTAAGAAACTATAGTAAGACTTCAGTGAATTTGTGTCTCCGATAACACTGAAGTGAAYCGAAAAGATTCGAGAAACGAATGTTATCTGTTTTTGTGCTATTAAGTGCTTTTTCGTGGCGCACAAAGTAGCGTTTTTATTTACATATACAGCTAAAGACTTTTACTAAATGTCGTCTTGGTGGTTTGTCTTAATAAAAAGCTGTGTTAATATTGAATTTTAAGTTTAGTTCTTGTTACTGACGCAGTTCCAAGCACAGTAAGAAACATTGCTCCTAAAGCCGTGAAACACATATCAGGCTGACTTTTTGAAATTTTTTCACAAATTATAAAAAATGCGCGAGACGAAATCATCGAATGATTATTGATCTTTTTTTTGTTATTTCACCCACTGCCTCAAAAAATGAACTTGATCAATCTACTTGCGTACTTGAGAAAATGCAGCAATCAATGCAGCAAGTTTGAGTTGTTGTCAAAAGGTACAAAAAAATCTGATGATAATTCTGGAGGGCTTTCAAGATATCGAGTGTTTCTTATGAATCCTTTGAATAYAACTTAGCGTACTAAACTTCATCTATTGCTCTTTATTTTGTGCRTTTTTTCTGTCTTTTCGGTGTATCAAAGACTTTGACTGTTAGACTTTGTTCCACGGTTTATGAAAACCACTAGGCGCGCGTGAAATTAAATCATATTGTATAAGACTAATGATAGACACAAAAATCGAAAAAAGATGGAATTAAGGACTTGTAAGATGTATTAATCTATTGTCTTAATTCTATCAGATGTAAACTAAATGAAGGAGATACAGCACCAATAATAATTATATCGGCAACCGCAATAACATAATAACATAAAAAGTGTACGTATTTATCACTGTAATTTAGTATATATAACAACATWAACATAGCAATAACAACACGTGCAAGCATAAAYACWTGTAGTTATGTAACMTACAACAAATCCTTCCAAAGTCCCCCAGTATGCTACGTGAGTRCAGAGAAWCTTCCATTTAAACGTTAAGTTTTCCGTTCAGTGGGTCAGATCAAACGGTAGATAATCAGCTCCTCYGAGGAAACATTATGGACTTACATGGGGTAATTCACTGCGGGCAAGGAATCTTTTAATTGAACATCACTGATCTATTCATATAAACTAAACTATAGCACGATTGTTGATGGATTTGTATTGTATGGCAATTATAATCAAAAGTAAGCTAAGGTTAATTTGTTGACTGTTGACGCAAGAAAAAGTAAATGACGCACGTCAATGTGGAGCCTGCGTGGGCTGAAAGCTCAAACTCTTATGTTGCGTTTTTGCTCTTTAAAAAAAAATCTAATTATATTCATATTCATGTACGTTTTCATCATTATTATTTTACTTTTCTTTTGTTGTTGCTGTGTTTTCTTTTTTTCTCTCTTTAATCTTAAGTATTCTTTCTTTCTTTTTTTTTGTTTTCTTTCTTTTTTTGTACGTGCGTTTTGCCGACTTGTTAGATACATAATAATCAAGTGCCACCTTTGAAAATACTTGTGAGGAAGAAATTTGAAAAAGAAAAGAAATGAATAATAGAAAAGTGAAAAAACGACGACAGTGATGGACTCGAGCCCCTTTCAAAACGGAAGAGGAAAATCTCTGTGTACAGCGGATTYGCCAAACCATGTTGTTATGGCAACAGATCAAACTACAGAAACCAAGATGGCGACGATAAACTGAGCAAAATACTCGAAGAAAGAAATGTGAAATCCTTTGATTTCCAGGCGTTTTGTCCGATARAAATTACATCAAACTACACATATAATCATGTCACACGGGTAAGAGTATATTTATGAAAGAATTCGTCGAAATCGAGTGGAAAAATAGTGAAAATATTTTATCTGTTATCACACAAGCAGCAATCATTTCAGCCCACAAAATATATGTTGATAAAATTAGTCTTATTTCGTCTCATCTGAATAATTTTTCCATTCTATTAAAGCATTAGATTATCAGAAATTAGTTTTGAATTGAATTCAAGCTAATATATTCTCCAAACCTTGTTTTAAACGTCATAAATTGTACATGTAAACTTTCAAAACAATTTAACGTTCACTATCAAACTTGTAAACGTCGATGATCTTCATTTATTAGCTTTTACAACAAGCAATGGGGCGAAACACAGGGAGGAATACTAGACTTGCTGGAAATAGAACTTCCAGCAGAGCCTGTCAAGCCAGAAAAGGTAAATAAATAAAGTAGCGGTAGAATTTAAGCTCCATGTTTTGAATATTCGTTGCATTTTTTACTGATGTCAAGAGATTTCCTCCACAGGACCGTATAGCTGCTTTTCAGATGTTTGCTGTTATGTACATAAAGTATATTCAGATTTTTAGAAAGATTGAAGAATGTTATGATCAGGTATTGTTTGCAGTCCTACTTGCTTTGAATGTCAATCAATCATTTACTAGACTGAACATCTGTGTTGTATTTGTGACTAGAATTCAACAACAAAACATTATCAAAACAAGAACAAAAAAAAAAAACACACACACACACACACAAAAGGATTTCTTTGTCATGTCTCCATTTTCTCAGATGATATCAATTCAGTCATCCACATATCCTTTTAAGACTAAGAGAAGGATTATTGAAAACAGATCAAGATATAGTTTAGTGTTTGTTGTCTTCTAGGTTGTACATCCACAGAAAAGACGAGTACTTAGGCACTTGTTGGATGGAATTATGGGAAGGTATGGGTAAAATAAATATTGACTATTCAAATAAGCAATGTTACTAATAATAAAATATTATTTAGAATTCTTGAGATGAAGAATGAAATGGTCCAGTTGGAGTTTTCAGAGTTYCACTATTTTGATGATGTGTTATCTGATCTCAAGCTTACTCCAGTAAGTATGAATAAGATGTGGGGTGCTAAGCTACATGGTGTATACCTATAAAGCATGCGTACGAATTGCGTACTTTGCAATGATTGCATCTTGCTTGTTTGGATATTATAGGATGACATTGAAATCCCAATTCCTAAGTACTTTCTTTATGAGAACTCAAAAGAACTTCAGGAGAGAGAGAAATTACTTGGTGGTATCCTTGCAAAGATGGGACCACAGGAAGCCCAAACTGTAAGTATAATTGGTACAGATATCATTAGAATTATGACAGAACTGTATTCAAAATAATGTTTTTTTTTCTTCTGAAGGTAAAAGAAGAAGTACAGATGACTTTAGATGATGCAATTAGGCTTATACAGGTAATAGCAGTGATTGGTTAGAGTAATGATAAAATGCATTGTTTATGTCAATGTAGCCTGYGCAGTACTGGCCTTAAGGGTTCTGTGGAAGAGCCTCTATATGTTAAATGTTATGTGCAAAAAATTATGATCTTTGAGAGTAAAGTTTATTGTTAACAGGTTCATGAAAGAGCAAGACAGGGGAGACTAAGGGCAAAGTTTATGAGAGAAATTAGGTATTACAAAAATGATTTGTCTGTCTTGATTTCTATCGGTTTCGATTTCTAATGCTAATGTTCAACAGGCAACAGGAAGAGAGAGAGCGACTAGCACAGCTGCGCGGAGCACCAACGATGGATCCTGATATTGCAGCTACTAAGATTCAAAAAATTTGGAAAGGTTTTTCACAAAGAAAGAAGACAAAGCAGATGAGAGATGAAGAACTAATCTTTGTTGGAATGGTAAGAATAAAGTATAATTTATTAACCAATATCCATGTATATTGTGAAAGAATCACTTGAAAGTGAGAGAAAGACCAGGGAAAGAGACAACACTTTAAACCAACGCAATAATCATGGGTTCCATAGTAAAGACTTAGTCTGTATAGAAGGGGTATAGAATGGTGTCTCAGAAATCGTGAGGCTCTCCAAAAACTTCCCAAGGCTCGCAAGCTCGGCACATAAAAGAAATGGGCTCGGATTTAAAATTGCTTTTGGCTCGGAAGTTAGCAATTGGTGAAATATCAGACTCATTCAGCCAAAGGCTGGGGCTCGGATTTTAAACTATGAGGGTCTTGCAGGCTTATTGGCAAGGCTTGGATTTTACCATTCGATCCCGTTATAGAGAAGCAGGCAGTAAAACTTTTTGGAGGTGTGATTTGGCATTTACTACTCATAGCAAAGTAATTCTCTATCTATCTGTTTGCAGGCTCCAACTCCAGAAAAAGARTGGAAGGACACAATGATGTATAAAGCTAATAAGACTGAGGTAAGAAAGGACAAAGAAATAAAATGATAATCTTGAGAAGGATGTTTTGAAGATTCATTAGTCTACCTGAATAAATTTAAAAAAAAAATAGAAAATTGTATGGAAAAAATTCATTACATTTCATTCGCTGATCCACGCACACTCACTCGCAGTATTTAGCATATTATATATAATTGAGGATATTATTATGGATCTTTTAAGGATCATAGAAGAGTTGTCCAAGAAGAACACGAACGAGAATACCAGGGTGCACTAGTGTCAATCAAAGAGAAGATACGTGAGATAGAAGGACCAGACATGAAGGAAAATATGCAGGATCAAATWAGACAATGGTTTATAGAATGCAGGTACAGTAATTCAACACAACTAATCTTTTGATTAATAATCGGTAACTTTTCTCTCTGTGCTGTGTTGTATCATTGTTTTGGTTACTATACTTGGGCTATTCAGCTTACATAGTGCATAGAGCAGATTTCGTATGAGTGGGAAACGGACGGTACTGTACTGTGACTGTAATCGTACTGTAACCAAATTCTAGTGCCCCATTGGTTCATCAAAATTGTGCAGGCCAGGTCCAGTAACTGTGTGGTAACCGTGCAGTAACGGTGTCCCACTCATACGTAATCCGCTCTATGTTTTGCCAACTACRATTCGTTGCCATTTTGGTCAACTTCATCGAGGGGAAGGAGAAGGAGAAGCAGGCTCATGATGAAGTTGACCAAAATGGCAATAAAACGTAGTCTGCAAAACATTGCACTATGTGAGCTGTATAGTACAACTAACCAAAACAACTTGACAATTAATCCCCTTCATCTAGTAATCACTAATCTAATATTCATCAATCCTACACTGTCTACCAATGGTTGAGAGTTCATCAGAAATTGTTGATTTGATAAGTATTTGTTAGTATTAAAATCTCATTATTATTGTATTGTATTTTAGGGACAAAAGTGGAAAGTTTCCTGACTACCCTGATGAAGATGAAGGAGGCTCTTCAGCAATATTCAAAGAGAAAGATCCTGCTGAAGTAAGTTAATCTCAAACTAAGAATAACATCATGTTATGAAAAGTTGAATGGACAGATTATAGAAAGTACTTATGGTATTTTTAAATTTTTGAGTGTTAAAACACTTACAAGGGGGTTTATTGGAAATCCCTTAAATATTAGACAGGATTGAGTATAAATATAAAATTCAATATTGTCTTTAATTACAAAAATAACTTTCTATTGCTAAATACTGTAYGTTCTTTTGCAGCTGGAAAAGGAAGAAGCAGAAAAGGTATTTTTGAAGCATTTTGGGGTTGAATGAGGAAATTTTCCTTTCAACAGGCTAAAATATGAATATTTCAGTTACTATCTACTTCTGCCATACCTAATAATCATAATATTATCAATCATAATTAATATATCAATTGATATTATTTATAATTATTATATTTATTATTTATTAAATATTTATTATTATTAGCATCATTATTGATATTTCCATTGATATTTCTATAGGATGAGGATGGCGGAAAGAAGAAAAAAGGAAAGAAAGGCAAAAAGGACAAAAAAGAAAAGAAGGGAAAAGACAAAAAGGGAAAGGGAAAAGGGAAGAAAGGGAAAGGAGGAGGAGATGAGGTAAAATTTRGCACTGAATGAATTAAARAGCAATGGAGTCAAGTGCACAACATTGTTAACTAGTTTGTTTTATCATTAGGAAGAGGAAGAAGGCATTAAGATGGCTGAATCKAACTTTATTCCAACAGTAAACGAAGCAGCAACAACATATAAAGGTATTTTAACTCSTTAATCATTTGCACATGTTAAAGGCCCTTTTACACTTGCAATTTTGTTTGCAATTTTTGCAGCGCGATTGTCGCGCGACAATAGCCTTAGTTTCGAACATGCTTGAAATTTAGGTGCAACTCGCGGYGATTTTTGATCGCCGCGACAATCGCGGGGCTGTTTACACGTACGATTTGAGGTGCGAGAGAACAAAGTGGCGATTGTCGCGCGACAATCTCGCTGCAAAAATTGCAAGTGTAAACGGGCCTTAACAAACTATTGTAATTTTAACGTCAATTGTTTTTCAGATGTTTGGCAGTTCCGTGATGAAAGTGGGAATTTTGAACAAAAGTATGATGCAGAACTTATCAAAGAAGCCAAGAGGTACAACTCAGTTTTAATTGATATTCATAACTTGGGTAATAAAATCAAATCTCAATGAAKTTTTTTTCTTATTCAAAAGAATTGAAGTTGAAGATGAGATTCGKAAACAAGTGGATGAATTGATGAGACAAGAACTGAAAAATCTCAAAATGGTAATTCAAGAAACTTTCCTTATTGGTGAATGATTTTAATTCTTCACATATATCAATTATGCTTGTTTTTTTTTAGGCTGTCGACAGAGACAAAGGAGGCAAAAAGGGAAAGAAAGGAAAGAAAAGTGGGAAGAAAAGTGGGAAAAAGGTGCTTTTGTTAAGCAATGATTTTTCTGTGTGACGTTGTGTTAAKGGTTAATATAGGTAAGTAATACTTATTTCTTTTATTGAATTATCTTCTGCATTTAGAAAAAGAAGAAGAGTGGGAAGAAAAGTGGAAAGAAGGGAAAGAAAAAGAAGAAGGAAAAGGATCTCACTGCAGATAGGTAAATATGTGTGTATTGTTATTAGTTATTTGGCCGTAATTAATGAATGAGCATTGACTTGCCGTTCGTGAATGCGGAGAAAAAAGGCGCTAAAGTGTGTTTGTAAACAAGTTAAAAGTAGAAAACATTCTGCTGCACCGTTTCCATATCCTTTAGCGTTATCTAAATCATCAATCGTATCTACATGTTCTATAAATTTCTATTATTTCTAGGACAATGGAATCGCTTTATGAAGAACTTACCCAAGAAGGCATATTGGTACGTGTCCCAAAGGTTCGTTTACGGGACTTTACTGGAGAATACAGCTACCTGGGAACAACGCTACGTCAGGCTAACATAGAACCCATGCCSTCAYTGTCAGATGTGCGTCGGGTCGTCACTGAGTTTGCAATCCTTCCTTTAGGTATGAACACCCTCTATAAACCGAACAGTTATCCCATCTATTGGTATGAAACACTATCACATAAGAACCACTGTACAATAACCAACCTTTATCACTTGTCTGTATGTTGAACACCCTTCATAAACCGTTTAGTTCCTCCGTTCTTTCTCCATACTTCTGTTGGTTATGAAATACTCATAACATGAACACCTCTKTATATCGAGCACCCTCTGTAAATCGAACCTCTTTTCTTTCGATCGGTATAAAACGCTTGGTTCACATGCTTTGAATGCATGCATTTCTTCGTTTTTTACTATGAGTCACAGCGGCCATCTTGGAGGAACTTTAACAAAGGATTTCTTATTAGATTATTAGTATCTATTGTTTATTCCTCCAACATGGACGCCGGTCTTTTATCTTTTTTTAAAAAGGAATAAACAATAGATAATAGCTAATGAGATTAAAATCTCATAGGAAGGATTGAAAACGATCAATTGAATACGTTGGGCAGTACCACTCTGTATCTCAGCCTTCTCAGAGGTTTTTCAATAWATATTTATTTATTTTAGGTTCCCAGGCTGTCCATGAGAAATCTCCCCACGTCAAGTCCTTACTTATCGCTGGTCCACGTGGTGTCGGCAAAAAGATGCTKGTCCATTCCATCTGTTCRGAGACTGGTGCTAACCTGTTTGATCTCACCGCGGCAAACATAGCTGGAAAGTAYCCTGGGAAGGCAGGYCTWAATATGATGATGCATATGGTTTTYAAGGTRAGTCACGTAATGATGACGTCACGCGTATGTTTATGAYGTAATAATTTTGTCTAAYTATGACGTCACTTTGCGMCACAGGTTGCTCGTCAGCTTCAACCCTCGGTGGTCTTCATTGGTGACGCTGAGAAGACATTTGTGAAGAAAGTTCCTAAAACAGATAAGGTATATCTTAATAAAAAATAAAACGAATTTTTAGATGGAAGTTGAAATGAGAAAGTAKTTTGTATTCTATTTTCAGWCTGATCCAAAGAGACTGAAGAAAGACCTMCCCAAAGTSCTCAAGACACTYAAACCTGAAGATCGYGTCTTGATTGTTGGAACTTCACGACAGCCTTTCGATATCCTTTCARTGAACTATTTAATTGTTATGGAGAGTTACTAGACTTGTTGAGGAGTTCTAATGAGTTACTTACTTTTAATGAGGTACAGTTTTGTTTCTTCTGATTGGGAAAACTGACCCTGAATATCCTAGGAATCCTACCCCCTGTTTTTATACAAGCAGGATTTCCCATCACAAACTAAAAAACGCAATAATTTACAGCTATTTCTTTTTCTTTTCATTAGTCCTTTTCATCAAAAGCATCAGATCAAAGTAAGGTTTGATGCAATATCATGATGATCCTACTGAAGGACAACTTCATCATCATGATGAGTTATTTTTCACTGATATCAAAGACTATTTTTCCTTAACTTGTCCACATGCCGAAGTCAAACCTTTTTGCAGTGCCTACCAAAAGATCATTCTTATACCAAGACCAGACTACGCTTCGCGATACCGTGAGTATAATTACACCTTTCCATAAAAATAGAGAACCTCGAGGAGATCTCCAACCAAAACTTGTTTGCTGCGCGCTGACAAAATTGTTCCATAGACAACTGTGCTCCAGCAATAGTATTTGACGTTGATGCGCGCGAAGTATCCTATCCTCASAATCGGCGCAATAGAATCATGACCAAACCAACCATCAATCTGTTTTAGTGTTGTGGAGGGCTCTGACGTTCAARTTTGGTGGTCGGATAACGGATTCATTAGACTTGAGCTCGTTGGCTAAGATTACAGATGGTTATACACCTGGTCACATGGTYCAAGTGTTGCAGCAAGTACTGACGGAACGACGAATACAGCAGGTACTGAAATAATCTTTACCCCACCACTACACCTATGTGATAGTTAGACCCCTACATCTATGATAGGTACCCTCTACATCGATGATAGGTAACCTATACATCTGATAGATTCCCCCTACAACTAGGATAGATACCCCTACCTCTGATAGGTACATTAGATTATGCTTCACTCACTCCCGAGTTTGTTTGTTTGTTTGTTTGTTTGTTTTTTTTTTCATTGGACATTTTCCATGCTAACAGAATGTAGTATAGAGCTACAGTTAAGCCGTGAAACAAATATTACACTAATGCTAGCCTGCGTTACGTCCGGTTTATTTCGCCAAAATAACTCTTTTGGTAAATAAAACCGGATGTAACGCAGGCTACACTAATGCACGATAAATGCTTCTATTGCAAATTACATTTTCTTTCTTGTCTTTTAAATATCACCAGAGAAAGCTGTTATAGTTTGTTAATTGTAAATATTTTATTTCAGCTGTCCAAACGACCACTTTTAGCAGCAGAGTTTGTGTCTCCTTTAGCAAGAATTGATCCAATTTACAAAGAAGAGGAAGAAGCCTTCAAGGTATGACACGCTAAATCCGTGAAATATATTCACATTTCGTACATAATGGATACATGGCGGCTAAAGCAGAGTTTCCATGGTCTTACCATGTAAAACATATTTTTTGTCCTAGACTTGGTACACAAAGACTCCTTTAGGCAAAAAGAGGGCAAAGGCTGCGGCAGGAGACGATGATGGAGGTGATAAGAAGGGGAAGAAAGGAAAAAAGGGAAAGAAAAGTGGAAAGAAAAAGAAATAGATAATAATCGAACTGTAAATTTTGCGTTTTTTAGTTTGTATATATCAATGTCTGTGCCTTKGCATGTGAAACTATTTGAAATAAAATTTGTACCAAAGTTAAGTTTATTGTTGAATTACTTTAGTGAAGGTTTTCACAATCTCTTGSTGTTATTACAGTGTAACCCAAGTAAGATTTTAATGAAAACTGAATGAAATAATTATCTTGAACAACAATACGTTATAAATTGTGCGTAACTCCTTTATTTTTAGCCTCTGTTTTCAAAACAGTTATGTATGTTTAACAACCCTTATCAATATTATGTTCTCTAACAAAATCACCCATCAGATACCATACTAAAATATCTTTACTACTAGTAATCTAATCTAATAACTATGCATCCTGATTGCTAATGCACACAATATTGCAGGCAATGGTATTTCACTGCCTGTAACATTGAATACAAAAGTTGTGTCCAGTTTTAACCATATACCATGGTGACTTGGCTTCCATATATGAACATATTTCCTTATTTGGAAATATATAGTTTCACCCAAATAAGGCATTGACCTTATTAGGACAGTATTTTCTTGACTTCTTTGACAATGCAACTTGCAGAGATGCCAAACATTTCTAGAAGTTCATTTGGCGGCCCACTCTGTGGYACACGAGGAACAGCAAGACGGTGAACGTGCATTGAACCTAATTCAGCTACAGCCGAGCAGACGGCTTCACCAATGCCACCTATAAATCCAAATAAAACAATCTTGGAGTTGAAAATTTTTAAAAAAACCAGAGACTGACAATTGATTGATATCAGAGCTAATGATAAGTTTGAATGTTGAACAGAAAAACACGATTCCTGAAAAGTTGTAACGGTTACTACAAGGTACAGGATAATGTCAGTTTTAGGCACTATTAATTGCAATGAAAAGTCATGAGTTTGAAAACATCTTTTTCTCAAGCAAAAAAAAAAAAACAAAACAAGTTAATGTTTTAACACTTCAGACCCTGTGTTTCCTTGTGAAGCCTATATTTCATTAGACTGATTCCAAAAGTCGTAGTATTCGCTCCTCGATTTTTTGGTTTGTTGCTCAAACTAGTATCTGTCCAGGAGCAAAAAAAGAGCGACCTGACAGACTGGTGGAATCAGTCTATTATTTTATTGCATCATCTGACAATACTTTACCTTCAGGATAGTGGTCTTCCACAGTGAGTATCCTACAGCCAGTTGCCTTTCCATGTTCAATCAAGGCATTTTGGTCAATTGGTTTAACAGTAAACAAATCCATAACTCTAACATTGATGCCCTCCTTGGCGAGTTCATCAGCAGCTTTCAAGGCCTCGTGAAGAGTAACACCACCACCAACCACCAATACCTCGTCATTTGCACTTTGACGCACAACCTGGAAAGGAAATACTTCAAMATTTAATAATAGTTTTATAACAATAATTGTAAGAAGATAAAAAAAGTCTAAGATGTATCATTTTGATGAACTATCTACCTTAGCTTTGCCTATCTCAAAGACTTCATCATTCTTGTATATGACTGGAGTAGCTGGYCGTGAAGTACGGATGAATGTCATGTACTTGTAGTTTGCTGCCAGTTCAACAGATCTTTCACATGACACGGCATCCGATGGGTAGAATACAGCACAGTTAGGGACAGCACGGAACATGGCAATGTCCTCCAGGGCCATCTGGGAGGCACCATCCTCACCTAATTCATTGATAAACAGAAAACATTAAAACCTTCTTCAAATAGCTGTATGTGTTAATAATAATAATAATAATAATAATGTGGTTTTATATAGCATAAATATCCATAACTTTATACACCTATTTATAAAGAGAAACTTACCTATTGAGCAACCAACATGAGACCCACAGAAGTTCACATTAGAATGAGAAACCCCTGCCATACGGATCTGGTCATAGCCACGAGATAGGAAAGCTGCAAAGGTGCTAACAAATGGGATGGTACGATTGCGAGTACCACACCCCACCCCAACACCTATCATGTTCTGCTCGGCAATGAAACATTCAATAAAGCGGTCAGGAAACGCTTTCTTGAATGTGATCGAAAAAGTTGAATTCTTGACATCGCAGTCCAGAGCAACTACACGATCACATGACTCGCCRAGTTTGGTCAGTCCTGTACCATAGGCATTGCGTGCAGCGACCTTTTAAAAGATAATAATAACAATCATATCAGAATATTAGTTTTTATTATCACAATAGTCAATAAGGTTTCTTTGTATGAGCCCAAAATTATGTACACCTCACCTTGTCACCTAGATTATAGTTCGGCGGCTGTGAGAGTTTGATATTTGCTCCACACAAAGCCGGAGCATCGTCAACTACAAYACCAGGTTTGAGATCATGAGAAGGGTTGACTATCCTCTCCTGMACTGCTTTWATRATATCACCAGCTCTGTCTCCCATAGCTTTCCCATGGAAATTTTCAAAGTCTTCCACACCTATTTACCAAAACTCAAGGTAAAATACAAAGAACTRAAGAGGCTGGGAAGGCTTTCTTCATTCTACACTCAACTCGATACGTAGCAAAGGTTTTATATTAATACTTATAATTACTTACAATTCAGAATATGTCAAAAATACAAAGAGCATATGCAATAAAAAGACAACTTTTATATATCTAAATGGAAAAAGCTGGCCCAATGGCAATAGCAATATTGACTGAGTAGCTTTTTTGCTTGGATGAATTCCTTTTCAGTTGAGAAGACCCTTAACTTGGTGTAATAGTTTGATTTGGTTGAAGACATCTCAAAGAAATGGCCACTTCATAACACAAGTCTCAACACTAACTGCTATAATAACCAAGACTTGAAGCAGAAACACCAAAATAGGYYTATATAATGATGATTTCAACCTACCAGGGAACCCTTTGCCTTTGTAAGTTTTAGCCAAAATACAGGTTGGTTTTCCTTTAGTATTCTCTGCTTCATAGAGAGCACGACACAGCGCTTCAACGTCATGCCCATCAAGTACAATAGTATTCCAGCTAAAGGCAAAAAACACAACAAAAATCAACTTTTATTTTATGTGAGCACACTAAATATCTTGTCTTACCCAAAAGCTTCACTCCTCTTYCTGTATGTTTCCATGTCATGTTGCAGCGATGTTGGCTCACTTTGTCCTAGACGGTTGATATCAAATATGGCTACAAGGTTGTCTAGTTTGTAATAGCTTGCAAAATGCATAGCTTCCCACACGGCTCCCTCTGCACTTTCTCCATCTCCCAACACGCAGTASACACGATAGCTAATTGAAAAATTAAAAATGAATTATAATGAGTACTATCTTTGGAGCAATACGAATGTTACGATTTACCAACTTGGGGAAAACTGACAGGAAGAGTTAACCTTTCTAACTTATGTTTTACTCAGCCTTATCAAATTCATTAATTATTTTAACTATTTAGAGAAAGTATTTAGAATAAAAATTAACATAAATATCCGATATGTCGGAGTCATCCTGACTCCATTCTCAAGGACTAAACTTTAATTAAGTTAATGCAAATATAAGAGAAAATAAAACA